TATATATATATATATATATATATATATATATATATATATATATATATATATATATATATATATATATATATATATATATATATATATATATATATATATACTACCCCTCTAAAAAAGTAGTAAATGAAACTTCGTAATTGATTCACTGAAAGTGTGGAGGATTAATTATATCATTATTCAACGCTGAGATGATGAACTTTCGATGAAAGATTAACAGACTTTAACATTGGAGGATTTTGATTTAGGATTAGACTGGCATGCCTGCTTATGGTATGACAAAAGAAAAATAGATAACTTAGAAAACTACTTTATAAAAGCAGTATTGATTAAAACTTGGGAAAAATTCAAAGAGCACCGGAGAGGGTTGCAGGCTTCTCCCACGGCTTCGCGGGCAGAAAAAGGGGAGCCGCCAGATGCCCAGGCCAGTTTTAGAAGATAAATTTATGAAATGTCGCCAACAATTATTACCTGCAGGTTACTGTCGAATGCGTTACACATTGTTTCAGTCAAAATTTTTTTTGAAATTCTATTATTCTCAGTGGAAATCTCCATATTTGCAGTGTTTATCTGAAAAACCTCCAAAATATATATTCAGTTTTTGGGATAAGATAAATCTCCTAAAAACTGAACTTACAAAAATTCATGAGCAACCAGAGAGTGGATATAAGCTATTATCATCCCACTTACTTCACAAAAAAGAAAAATCTACATGTAATTTCGAGCATTCATGTTAGTGAACTACGATACTGTAATTATATCGTTCCTTTATTATAAAGGATGCAATTTCAAGTATCACGGACTCAACTAAATTTATATCGTCAAATTTCACACTCAGCTTTTTCGTTTTCTAGTGGCTTTAGATATCCTTAAGTAATTGCATTTCAAGTTGACCAAAACATTACGCTTTTACGTTAAAGATCTATCTAACATCAACGATATAATGATGACCTGTTATAACATAATTTTTTCTTTTTTTTTGAAGGAAAGAATAATTATAGTGAAAAGTTAACGAATTACAGAAGTGGAATTAGATCCAGTACTTTCTTCCAAATGTTTTTTCGGGATTCTCTTCACGAATTTGTCCATGCTTGGCTGAAATGATCACGTTTGAGGCTAAGTATACAGTGAACATATGCCCAATCGATGCAAGCACATTCACGTGCATGGTTTTATCCTTAGTACATGCATATATATGAGAAATATATGCTTTGTGTAAATAAACAGTGCATGCTCTGCATAAATGAAAAGTGCGTGCTTCGTACAAATGAAAAATGCATGATATGTATAAGTGAGAAGTGCATAGTTTGTGTAAATGAATGTATATGTGTACCACATATGCATACATCATTTGATGAAGATAAACTTAACCCAAATTGAATTAATCATTGAGCTTACCAATAAAGTGATTTTTATATATTACAATCTACATGAGCGTTTATTATCACTCATACATGCATTTATGTATTGCAGTCGCAAATGCATGCATTATGCATGAACATATGCTATCGTTCTATTATGCATACTCACGACGAAGTAATTACATGCATGATGATTTCTGCGTGCACTACGTGCTTAATCATTGTTATATGCATCATGCACTTGCATTACAGATAATGCACGTATGCAACCAATTATGTCGACATTAATAATATGAAATATTTCTACTAAAACTAGCACAAATCACCACATCTTACTCCTTCAAAAAAAAAAAAACGCAATTTTGAATATCCCATTTCGCGCTTGCATTACAATATTTCGTCTGTTGCAGCTTCGTATCAAGCATAACGTTGCATGCAAAACTTTTCCAAGTTTGCGGTGAAAGGGCTGTTAAACTTGCCGAAGTATTTACAAGAGATTTGTTAAATTCCTGGAATGGAAGAAAGAGGCGAGTTGACATCTTTCATTAATTAATGACATTAATTTACTCTTTTATAAAATTGAAGTTCAAAATTAAACTTGCTGAAGCGTTCTAAGAAGATTGAGTCCTGAAAACTTTTGAAGCTCCAAACTTTACGAAAAGTTGAAACTTTCGAGATAAAATGAATGACATCAATAATTGAACGTTTAATTCTAGCAGTTTCCATATCTTTTACGTGATTTTCTTTATGCTAGCAAATGCGGTAATTTTAACACCACCATATCGTATCTACGTGATACGTGATCCTGCTCAATTTGTAGTCAGGTAATGATTTAGTTCCATTTAATGGCTATTTGGCCTGATTTGGTGTTTATTTAGCTCGATTTAGTGATTATTTAGTCCAACAGTGATTGTTTGGTTTAATTAAATGCTTATTTAATTTTTAATATTTTAATTTAATGCTTATTTAATTTGATGGTTGTTTGATTTAGCGATTGCTGATTTAGTTTAGCAAATATTTACTTTAATGTTTTATTTAATTTAGTGAATTACAAATAGCGACATTCTCTCAAAGAATAAAGCAAAATGATTTTGGAGCGTTGCATATGAAAAGCAACACAGAATTGCTTAGCTAATAACGCGAATGATAATAATTAGTTGTTATCATTTGTTTGTTACTGGAGAAGAACTGCTTAGAAAAGTATTTGATTAATATTTCTTTATTAAATTAATTTAATATTTTTAATATTTTAATATTTTAATATTAATATTTTGTTATTAAATTAATTTTAAGATATCCAAAAACCAAGATTTTTATAAATATATATATGTTCTAACATTCGAACATGTAATATATATATATATACATATACATATATATCGAATGATTTTTGCATCCCACAATCCCTCAATCTTTTCCTGAATTTAAACCACTCACTCAGATGATCATTACCTTCGAATACAATTCTTGTTTTTTCTGTTATTTCACAAGACATTTCAATTAAATATTATTTACTTATGACTGTAACATCCTGAAATCATTTTAATAATTAATCAATTTTGTTACGTTTAAAATATGATCACTGCTATACTTTTTTTTTTAATCAAATAAATTTATTAATTAAACGACAGAAACTGAAATTAGAATAATTTACAATAAAGTTGACTGTTAATTACTCAATCATTGAGCTCTTTTTTTTTTGCTGTTGCAAATATATTGTTTAGGAAACAATAAAATTTTTACTAGCTTTCTGAGTAAAAAATTAACAAAGTATTGAGTGACTCATTAGAAAAGAAGAAAAGAAAATGATAAAATGAAATAATTTAAAGTAATAACACCATTTGGATTACATTATTATCAGTTCGCCTGTAGCATTGCTAACAGTGTCATTAATATTGCAGCTATATTTTGTTGTTGTTGTTGTTGTTGCTGCTGTCTTAATATATTAAAGATAAAAATTACAAACAAAATATACTAAATTAAACTTAATCAATACTTGTTAGCAGTCTAATTAACAAATCACTTAACAGATGCTAATTGTATTATGTTTCATCAATCAAAACATAATATTCATTAACCGGAGACTTATCAACATAACCTATGTGATACAATCTGTTTATTTCATACAAAACTTTTTATTATTCACTACAATTGTCACAAAATTTAAATCACAAATTTCAATTTTAAATGAAGGTAAACTAGAATTAAGAGATTAAAAAAAATGAAGAATGTTTTAATTATCTTGCGTCAATATCGAGCAATTATTTCTTATCATTTTGAATTTTAAAGTAATAATGAGAAAAAAAAAAAGGGAATGAAGAAAGATATCAAATTAATTGGAGTCAAATTTGCATTTTTCCTTTTTTTCTTTTTCATAAATAAAATTTTGTTGTGCTTGAAATTGATAGAAATAATAATCAAATGATAGCAACAACTGCTGTACAAATACAAAATATATCAATGAATAAATTGATCGATTGATTGCAAAAAATGAAAATATACAAAATATTTTTCCCTGTATTAGCTTGTTTTAATAAAACTGATATTAAAAAGAAAAAAGTAATGGAATAGAATAATTTATAAAACAAGAAATTAAAATCAAAATTGCTGAAAAAGAAAAAAAATTGATAGTTTACAGAAGCAAAGAAACTTTGTCATCAAAAAAAAAAAAAAAAAAAAAAAGTGGAAAATAAAGATAAAAAGAAATTATCGTTTATAATAAAAGTATTAAAAGTTAATGAACATTTTCCATTTTGTTTATTCATTTCTAATTTATTTTTTTCATTTATTAAATGTACAATTTTGAAATTTTTTTTAAGAAAAAATAAATCGAAAAATTTCCTACTTTTGCAATTCGAAAAGATTGAATGTGCAGCACAAATTAATGGATAAGTAATAATGAAAGTATACATATTGGGAAAATGAAGAAAAGATAGAAAAAAAATTACATTTGAGGTAGATTATCAATTAAGCTCTATGATAAAATGATATTTCATTTTTGTTTTCATAATTTTTGTTTTTAGTTGTCTGAATGATTTTGACGTATCTGTTTACCATAAACAACTATTCATTTATTTAGTAATTTAGTATATGTATTTTGCATTTCAGTATGTCGATCCATTATTTCAGTATGCTTATTCATTATTTCGGTATGTCTATCCATTATTCCAATATGCTTATTCATTATTTCAGTATATCTATCAATTAATTTAATATGCCTATCGATTATTTCAATACATCTATCCATTATTTCAATATACCTATTCATTATTTCAATATATTTATCCATTATTTCAATACGCCTATTCATTATTTCAGTTTATCTATCCATTCATCAATGTTCAATGGTTCTGTCATGCACATTTGCATATCATGGGAATAATAAATCTATCGTTAAAATGCTTCAATAATATTCCCATGACTAGTTAGCTTTTCTTTTTTTTTTTTCTTTTTTTGCTATTCCTAAAAGCTATTATTTGTAATAAAAGGTAGAAAAAAAAAAGTGATGATCTAATATAAGCTTATTTATCAAATGAAAAAGCATTTAAAAATCAATACTACAATCGATCATATTACCTTCGATGATCATTGTTGTAATTATACAACAGTATCGAATTGGATCGAATCGGATCGAATCGGATTGGATCGACTAATAGATAGATATAATAATACGATAACAATATGTTACTCAAAATTATTTTCCAAACAATTGATTATTCTATCTAATTTACAAAATTTTGCTTTAGTTGATCAATTTCATGAAATATTCACCACATCCCCGATAGATTGAATATTTGATATGTGGATGAATTTTCAAATTAATTGGATTTTGAATTTTTAATACGAATTAATCAATTACTTTTAAATGTTTGAAAATGATAAGTTATTAATAGCATTTTTCTATTGCATTTCATATTTTGATAATATATTTTTTAAATGATAAAATATATGCAACTATTAATTGTAAAATGATTTTATATTAATTTTCATGCTAATTCGTGCAATGTTATATTGTATGAATGAATATAAGTGCTAATAGCATAGTGAAAAGTAATATTATATGATAGGTATAAAAATATTTGTTGAAATTTTGTAGTGATTTCAAATTTGATTTATTTTGATTAATTTCAATTTATAAATTATAGGAAGTTTATGAAAATTGATGGGAAATTATTGGATATCTTTCTTTGTTTTCACTTTTTTTTAGGATGATGATGAGAGACGATAACATGTGTTTCAAGGAATTCAAATATTCCAAATAATATTTCATGCAATTATAAGCCAATTTTCTTCCTAAATTTCAAATTTGGATAGTTTTAATTTCATTTCTATTAATTTGTCAAGCTAAATATATTGCCTTCAATAACTCTACGAATTGCACCCTTATTTTGAATTAAGCTTAAATTAAATTATCCCAATTCAATCTGCAATCATTCGTGATTGCTAATTGCAATTTCGAAGGAAAAGAAGATGTATCAAACATACATTTCAAATTAAATTTATTTTAAATTCTTTCAATTCCATTCATAATGCATCATATTAATAGTCTAACAGAAAAGGCACGAAAAAAAAGCAAAGCAAATAATACTCATATCTAAGAATAAGTTCAAATTAATTGAACTAATTCAATTTTCGACTTTACTTTCCAGGAATTGCAAATTTTTTTCAAGAAACATGATAATAATTAAATAAATAGCAGTTAAATAAAAACGAAATGCATGCTGGGACAAAACTTTTTCATCTTGACCTTCCGTAGATGTGAAAATGTAGTGAGCATCGTAATCTACTAGGTAACTCAGACCAGAGGTAGACTGGCAACATCGGGTGGTGTTTGTGTTGTGATTAGTTGGGGAAGATGGGGAGGAAAGAGGGGAGGAGTATAGTGGTTAGGTATTCTTCAACAATCGATTATCAAAAAATGGTCAACTAACGTTGATCACGTGAAATTTGATGTCATGTTAAAATGATGTAGAAACGATCACGTGAAATGATGTTAAAATGTGGCCGAAGTTTTGTGCTAAATAAGCGCTAAATGTTATATCGCTTTTTTCATTATGCCATTTGTAATTTTCCCATAACTTGCCAAAAATTTTTTAGGATAAAATTGTGAAATTGATTTTGCAATACCTTCTTTATTCTTTTCGTTCTTTCATTTTATCAGCATTAATTCTTACCTTCGATTTCATATATAAATAGGCAGATTTCACGACACTTCCTATGGTATCCATAGAAAGTGGAGTTGAAATGATCTACGTCTTTAATTTAGCTTTCCCTGTCAAATTTAATTGGTAATGAAGTGTAGCGCTTGTACATGCATAAGCGAGTGTGATCTTATTAAAACTTATTGATAATATTAATGACTATAGTAATAGTAATAATAATAGTGACAGTGATGATAATAAGATTCCCTCAGTTGATAACGTTTGCAGATATCCCTCGAGTGTTTTTTTCCTATACCCAGTCTATGTTTGCACATTATGCATAACGAAATAAGAAGGAAAGAATATGTAAAAATTAAAAAAGTGCTATGGAATGCTTTGAAATTTTTGAGCAAAACTGCTGACCTTATTGTAAATTTCACGAAAAATTCAGGGATTGTTGAACGCAATTTCTCTTATATATCGCATAACGCTTTAAAATGTATTCGTTGCTTCGAAAAATACGGCATTCAAGTGGGCCGGGGAAAAAGAGAATAATTAGTGCAAAGTGTTTTTCCAGGTAAATTTAACTTGTGATAGTGCGATTAATATATCCATGGCTTGCGGAGTTGCGTTAAAGAGGCCATACGATTATGATGATTATCTAATTGCGGAAGGAAGTGAAGTGAAACGTGCACGTCATACGCAAACACACTGCTCACCATTTCGTGCACAAATTGGTACTATCGCTGCATCACTGCCAACTTCAGGTGCATCGAATGCTTTGATGCAGTTACGAGATCCAAAAGTAAAATTTTATTGTTTTTACACTCGTTGGTTCCTTCTCCAAGTTTGGATTACAGTTTTGTAGACATTAAGGAAAGGTTATATATTAATTTGTTATCGTATTCACGGTTTGGATAATTTATATTACGGAGGCGGCTCTATACGGATATCGGATAGGAGCCCTATTCTGTCAGTTATCAAATATTCCATTGTTAATTAGAGTACTAATCGTTTGGGCAGTTTCTTTAGGAAACTTCAAACGAAAGAGAAATACAATCTATTCATTGTATTTCTCATCGGCAACAGTATTTTTCTAGCGAAGGAGTTTTTTTATTGATTTTCTGTTTGTACCGTTGGAAAGAGTTTCTGTTTACTAAGACGGAGAAGTCCATTTTGAACTAGCATTAATTGCTGACGTTGCAGGATCGTGAAGTTTACGACAACTCACCATTTGCCCAAGTTGGCAATAATTTGCATCTTTCATCAGGACAGCTAGAATCATATTTGCGGGCTGAAGTAAGTGGTACATGCATGTGTGCATATGTATTTGAGTTTTAAAAAGCGTTTTTGTTTGTTTGTGTGTGTGTGTGTGTGTGTATGTATATGTGTGTTTATATGTGTGTGTATGTATGTATGTATGTGTGTTATGTATACGTGTGTACCACGTATCTGTGCGTGTGTGTGTATACATGTATATGTGTGTGTATATACACTTATGTGTGTGTGTATCCTTTTCCTACTCATAATTCTTTGGAATTCTATCTGCATTCAGGGTTTCGTTATAGCACGTAATTTTCAGGTGCGTTATCTGAAACGTCGTCATCTGATTCCACATCGCACGCTTACTTCAAGCGTGACAAACACAGGTAACGGTGAAGGAAGTGGTGCTGTACAACAATACGGGTCTCATTTTTCTAGTAATTTAGCATGTGGAAATGGAGCGAATTCGAAGCATGGTTATCGTGAGGCACCGTTATCACCCAATAATAATGTGAGTTTTATCGAGATTTTCAAAATTGTTAGACTTCCTAGACTATTTGAGACCTTACTCAACCATTTGCTGGAGCTCTTAGCTCTTTATAGTTGTATTTCAGTCGAGATAAGCTGCGTATTCATTTGGGAATTGGTCTGTTCGCATATAATTTCATTGTCATTTTTTTTTTTAAATTTCAGTCAGGCAGTGAGTCAGAAGGTGAAACAAATGTGCAAAAGACGTCATCAATGAAGGATTTGTACGAGAAACCACAGTTTTCTCTAAAACAGGTAACCGTTTGACCTTAGGCTACATTTTTTTGCATGAGTAGTTAATTCCACAAAGTCGCTAAATTCAAAATCATGAACAAGATGGTTCTAGAAAGGTTCTAACAATCTAGCAGTAACTTACACACTATTGAATGTTTAAGCACCTACTGAATCGTGTAAGCCACTGTTACATTGTTAGGAGGAAGGAGAAGGTTCGGCGGTCAGACGTCTTCAGGGAGCCAGGATTGCTGGGTGGTTTTGTTAGATTCTGGATTTTTTCGGGTTTCAGGTGATGATGATTTGCGAAAGGCTATTGAAACAGCAGGAAGTACGTCTTAGATATGAATATGAAACAGTATTGAATCAACGCTTGGAAGGTAATTTCTGTTTGTTGCATATGTTATTATTGAATAAATCTTTTTTCAGTAACAGGTGAAAGAAACATGCATTTCCATCATCCCTTCTCATTTGGAAAACATTCCATGTCATCTCAGCGTCTCTGCTCTCCTTTTCACTCCCATACATTTTTCCCTTCAAAGCTAAGGTTTTTTTTTTTTTTGAAAGGATCCCAAAAAAATTTTTTTTAGAGCAGCATGAACAATATGTGCAATTTGCACGCGAACAAATTGAACGTCAACATCAAGATGATGGTGTGGAATTGTCTTACCTTTCCTAACTTTGAATTTCTCATTTCGTTCACGCTGATGATGTTGGGTAAATAATTTCATTTTCTTATTCTGTGGTATTTATGTTTTATGAAGAATTACTCTAGCGGTGATGTCTTATAATGGATAGTTGACCACTTTCTAATTATGCTCTTTTTATTAATGTTGGGCATTGCTGTACTTTTCTGAGCTCTTTTTTTCTTTCTCCTTACAGGTGATTTTTTTCATTATTTTCGGAATTTATGAGATGTGTAAAACAGTTACATAATAGTGGAATTTGTTGTATGCTGTTTCTTAATCATCAAATTAATGTTCTGTTGACTGAATAGAGCTTTCGAGAATTATTCAATTTCCTAAGTTCTTTGTGAAGATTTCTGTGATTTGCGAAATTTTGTTTGGTCATTTTTTTTAATCTTTATTATGAAGAAATTATTGAAATTAAATGATTCTTGTTCCGCTATGAGTGCATGAAATCGTGCTCGTAGCATTGGCTGGACATTTTATTGGCAGTGTAAGATAAAATATAGAATTAGAAAGTTAATATAGAATTAACATGTAGAATTGGAAAGTCGACATTAACCCAATAGCAGTAGCTTTCAAATGATTTGTATATCTGTAATCTTTTTTGTTTCCTAATTATAACTCATTGTTATTAGATAAAAACCCTAGCAGTGGAAGTGTTTATGATCCCGGCTGACTCTGACCTTTGTCCGTAACGTTTTCATAGCATT